TGTTTTAAAGGGGGTTTTGGGGTATTCAGTTTTGGGGGTAGTTGTGTTTTTAAACGATTATCCCAAAACTTTTGGGGTTTCTGAGCACCTCGCAAAAAACAGTGATTAGGTATGAGGTGAAAGTATTGAAGGATGTGAAGTATTTTCTTTTTGGGGATTTTCTTTCTTTTTGGGTCACCCTGACTCGGTGGGAGACGGCCGAACTTGTTGAATATATATATTTATTATATTATATATATTATTATATATTATATATTATATATATATATATATATATTATATATATATATATATATATATATTATATATATATATATATATATTCTTCAACAAAACCGGCCGTATCCCACCGAGGTAGGGTGACCCAAAATAAATCACTCACCATCATCAACACTTTCACCATCGTTCACACATAATCACTGTCTTTGCAGAGGCGCTCGGATACGACAATTTTGATGTCACTCCAAAACAGCCAATATCCTAAATCCCTCCTTTAAAGTGCAGGCATTGTACTTAACACAGGACTGAAGTCCGGTTAACCGGTTCTCCTGAATCCCTTCACAAAATGTTACCCTGCTCACACTGCAACAGCTTGTCAGGTCCCAAATCATTTATCTTCATTCACTCCTAACACACTCACAAATGCCTGCTGCATGTCCAAGCCCCTTGCACACAAAACCTCATTTACCCCTCCTCCATTCTATCCCAGTACGACCCTACCCCTCCTCCCCTCCACTACGGATTTATACACCTCCAAGTCATTCTATTTTCCTCCAATCTTTCTAAATGACCAAACCACCTCACCAACCCTCTTCAGTCCTATGAATAATAATTTTAGTAACTCCCACACCTCCTCCTAATTTCCACACTACGAATTCTCTGCATATTTACACCACACATTGCCCTTAGACACCACCACTGCCTCCAACTTTCTTCTTGCTGGCAGCATTTGCTACCCATGCTTCACACCTATATGAGAGTGTTGGTACCACTATACTCTTTGCATCCATAGATAACGTTTTTGGTCTTCACAGGTACCTCAGTTCACCACAAACAGTTTTTATTTCGTCAATTCTTTGGTTTACCTCGTCTTTCATACACCCATTCGCTGATAAGTCTTTCTTCTTTCTTTCAACGCTCTTGCCGTATCCACCCGAGGCAGGGTGGCCCAAAAGAAAAACCAAAGTTTCTCCTTTTTATATTTAGTAATATATACAGGAGAAGGGGTTACTAGCCCCTTGCTTCCGGCATTTTAGTCGCCACTTATGACACGCATGGCTTAGGAGGAAGAATTCTGTTCACTTCACGATGGAGACACATAATAAGTCTATTCCCAGATATTTGAACACATTTACTTCTTAAATACTCCATGCAATTCATATCCATTTTGTTTTACCTAACTAGTTTGATACCTTCATCACCTTTCAACTTTTTTCCTGGAAAGTAATCTACCTCTCTCCTACAACCAAACCCGACCCTCCTGTCCTCAAAAAAAACTCTTTACAGATTTAGTAATTTTTTTTTTTATTCCTACACTTAAAACTTGTACTTGCCCCCCTTCCCACCTTCATTGTTTTTAAACCCATAAAAACAATAAAAATTCCTACTATTATCAAAATTGTTATTTATATGATTCAAGAAAAACACTTGGTTTAACATTCTCTACCTTCTAAAGCCTCCTTGTTCATTGCTCCTGCTCCCCCGTCTTACTTTAATTCTTTCAATAATAACTTATATATGTCAGTTTATGGTATCTCGTAAGTTTATTTCCCTAAAATTTTTAAATTTCTCTTTGTCCCCCCTTTCATTTTAATAAAGGAACCATGCACGATCTCTGCCAATCTAGGTATCTTCAATTTTTTCATCATTTGAAAAAAAAGACTAAGCACCCCCAAAATATATCCCACCGCTTTTAATTTCCTGTCATGATCCATAGTTACAGGCTTTCCCCCCTTCATTCTACCAAAGCCTCCGCCCCTCCCCACACTAATGGTCTTTTTTCCCCCCGGGCCAAGCATAAAATTACTCCCTCCCTCTCTTCTCAACACTTAGATTTCCTCAAAATATTCCCGCAATTTCCCCAAACACCCAAAATTTCCTGGGGAGTTAAATGTAGCTCTAGGCTTTCGTTTTTCAATAATACATTTTAAGGGTTTTTGCAATATTGCGAAATGAGTAGGAAGTCCAGGTAGATTCTTCAGGGGAATGTCTACAGATATGAAGGGTAATGGCACTCATATTATAATAGAGTGCATGCAGCACCCGTATATAATATTTGTATTCACAGCAAACCAATATCAATTTCAGTGCAAAAGCATTACATCTATTATGACCCTCTCATATGATACATTATTTATGAAGTCATAATTTGCACCATACTATGTATAAAGTTTCTCATTTGCAATGTATAAATCTCTTTAATTTTGCCCCCACATTTTATATATGAACCCTCACCCAGTGTATGTGTTCATCTCTGAAAATATGATAGCTGTCCTTATTATTGTAAGTTTGAATAGTCCTTGGGCTTAGCGCTTTTTTTTTGTTTTAATAATATTATTGTAATCATAAAAAAGCCCCTACGCGCTTAGCGCTCCATAAAATTTTAAAAACCACCATCGTGTTTAGCAAAACGTTTAAGTGAAGATGTAATAAAAGTAATTTTCCACTCTGTATTCTTTGGGGAAAGCGCTAAACCAAAAAGGGGTCACAGGCCGAAGAAGGGAAGCAACCAGGTTTGACCGATGAAGGAATTACTCCAATTCCTCGGATCAAGAAATTCTAAAAGAGAGCAAAAATTCTTGCAATTCCCTGATATTTCACATCATATGAGTCTGCCTATGGAGCCCTGAGGCTCCCCCGGCCCTCGAGTTTCTTAGGGCTTCATACACTGACACGACGGGTGGCTGGGTGCTGCAAAAACATATAATAGAGGATTTGTTAAATCTGTTTTTTTTTAAAACCCCTTGCTTCCCCCTTAAAAACTTATTTTTCTTTATTTCCATAATTTTTGATATGACCAAAAGTCTGTGAAATACACCGGGTTTTTTTTTTTGTGTCAATTTAAACATATTTTATTTCATGTAAACTACATTTTATTATGAAGAAAAATAAACCTGTATTGTAGAATTGTATAAGATGGTGTGTTTGTTGAAATTTACTTAATAAAAAATTTGGTTTTTAGACGGAAAATACAGATACTTGTAATTAAACATCTATTAGAATTTTCGGGAGGAGCAAAATTCTTGATCCCGCCTTCGGGCTTCCCAAACGACTTGAAAAAACGAGCCTTGTAGTCTTCCACTGTATCTTTTTGACCCTTTTTATTCTTTCCCTTTAAATTAAGAACTCATTTTAATGTCCCTGTGGCTCTTTAGGTTTGTAATTTCCCGTAATCAACTGCCCCCCCTCCTTTTCTTGTTGGGTTTTCTGGTCAAGGTTTATTTGTCTAAACCCCGTCTATGCCTTTTTTTAAAGGTAATATTCCTCTTTTTCTTGCCCCCCAATGGTTAAACCCAGTTTTTGGTGGTGCTGAGCAAGTTACTTTGGGTTTGACACAAACATAAAATATATTCTATATAAACCCTTTTCGGTGCAGTCACTTGAAATCAAGACTATTGATCAAGTCATTCAGAAAGTGAATTAAATATGGGTTATTTGAATTTTACACAAAAAGGGGGTTGCATAGCCAAGGAATTAAGGAAGGTTTGGTAAATGCCAAAAAAAAATCTACATACCGAGATAGGTGCAGGCCAGTGCCCCGTGTAGGCCTAAATACCTGCGGGGGGGGGGGGGGGGTCAGAGTAAGCAAGATTTGGGGTAAAAAACCTTAATGCGATCATTGAGCAGCTGTAAATTTACAGGATTTAAAAATTGTTAAAAAAAACAAAATACAGATATTCAACAAATTTTTTCATTTTTGGGAAATGTAGGAAAATTACTGAAACAAAAAAACTCTCCGTTCCCTTTTTTTGGGTGATGTTAAATTTTTTGAGGTCGGTTCAGATTCTGCAGGTCAAAGGTGGTCGTAGAATTATCTCGTTTTTGAAAAAATTTTTTGGACGTTCCCTTTATCAGTTGCACCCGATAGAGTTACCCCACGTTTGGTTCCTGGATTGTCTGTTAAAAAACCAAAACACTACTGTCACATGACAAAAAATTCTATATAAAAACAGCAAAATTTATGAAATTAAAAAATTGATAAATTATATTAACAATTTCATCATTCTCAAAATTTAAAATATAAGCCACTGTCAAGAGATAAAAAATAAATTAAATATATAAAAAGTTCCCGTGAAAAAAGGTTTACATCTCTGATTATAAAAAACTTTTAAAATAGAGATAAAATTTCAAAGTCCCCTGGCCGGCAGGAGCGGGAGATGAGGTAAAAAAAAGCTTTCAATTTTTTTAAAAAGGGAAAATAAAAGTAAAATTTTAAATACAATGCAGATGTACACTAATTCCCTTATCTTTGTTCAATAACATGTGCTGCACAATTAACTATTATGTACACAAGAAAAGTCATTTTTAAACCCGCTTTACTAGATAATCCAAAACAAGCTCTGTGAGATGTCAATATCTCGTACATGTTGGGAATCAAACTGAGTTTATATAATTACAAAACACATTTTTTTGAAAAAGTGAACCGGTAAGCCAGCAGAAGGCCTCGGTCAGATGACATAAAATTCCAGCTGCGGGTCATCATACAACTAAGGCCTGCGTGAGGAAAGACTTGTCCTGTTTCCTGACAAACCTCACCTATCCTAATCAAATTGTGCATGGCCATAGCATATTTCCAGCCATTATAATCCCTAACTATGAGGCTATAACATCCACACACTATCTTATATCAATATACTTAACATTAATACTGAAAATTTCATACCCAGTTCACAACAGCAGAGTGATTGGTGACTTCAACCTCAATATTCCCAGCTACTGGATCTAAAAGAAAAGTGTATATTAGTTGATTGATATTCTTGTTTTTATAAGATCAATTCGCAAAACTAGATGTATTAAACTGTCGAAATTGCGGCACCCAAATAACGGCACACTCTACCTAACGGCACACTGAAATAGCCGCCATTTATACAGCGCCCATTTGTGAGGTTCACCTGGTTTACACATAACATGCTACAGTATAAACAGCATGCTACAGTATACACAGCATGCTACAGTATACACAGCATGCTACAGTATACACAGCATGCTACAGTATACACAGCATGCTACAGTATACACAGCATGCTACAGTATACACAACATGCTACAGTATACACAGCATGCTACAGTATACACAGCATGCTACAGTATACACAGCATGCTACAGTATACACAGCATGCTACAGTATACACATAACATGCTGCAGTATACACATAACATGCTATAGTAAACACACAACATGCTACAGTATACACATAGCATGCTGCAGTATACCCATAGCATGCTGCAGTATACACATAGCATGCTGCAGTATACACATATTATTATATAATAAAAAGAGAGCGCTAAGCCAGCAGTACACACATAGCATGCTGCAGTATACACATAGCATGCTGCAGTATACCCATAGCATGCTGCAGTATACACAGCATGCTACAGTATACACATAACATGTTACAGATACTCATAGCATGCCACAGTACACAGAGCATGCTACAGTAAACACATATCATGCTACAGTATACAAGGCCATTTTACCTTTGCTGTAGATGTAATTAATTAGAGAAAAGTTAATAACTCAGAGAAATGTCTCGTAAACTTGCAAGTGAAGTGAAGAAAAAACGAACAACATTAAATCTTATGTGACAAACTTAACTTGATATAATAAACAAGAGAGGGGAGAGGATAAGAAGTGTGTTAATGACAGAATATAACATTGGATCGTCAACATTGTAAAATATTAAACAGTCAAAACAAAAACTTTCTAAACAACGGAAGAGTCGAAATAACGGCACTTTAATCCCAAGGGTGCCATTATTCAAAAAGTTTACTGTACAATATTGTTACGCGGGTAAAAAGGAATTTCGTCAGCACTACAGGAAGTGAAATCGGGTATTAATAAAATCCTTACCGACACATTCAGTAAAAAAGGTAACATTGTGAACTCTTTTGTTGGTGGAGCCATCAGCAGCACCAAGAACAGTCTCCAGCAGCACCTTCATCACGTAGTTGTAACCAGGATCAAGGTGTTCGATCAACTCTATGGAGAGTACATAGGTAATAATTAAAAAAATCTTTTATAAAGTTTACCTCTCTATTGTGTTATTCATGTTATTCATGGCTAGTGAGAGAAATAGATGAACAAACTTCAAACAAAGCTTATACATTCGGTACCTTCCTGATGAATACAAGTCTAAAATAATACACAAAAACCCTCACATGAAGAAACTTATAACGACGTCTGGGATCATTAATCACAGGAACTAGTTATAGTGATTAGTTAATGGTTCAAGTCAGACCGAAACGTCGTTGTAAGTTTCTTTCTCCATGTGCGGGTTATCTGTGTATTGTTCCAGTGGTGGTATTGTGACTTTATTCTCTACAACAATACATTCATCTGTACCTTCTTATTATCAGAGCACTATGTGGAGCTACTTTCTTTTTTCCTCATTCCATACATTCAGTAACTTTTCAATTTTACTTGGGTACAGTGAGCTATTAAATTCTTTTGACCGGATGACAGTTTGTATTATGGTACTGAATATAAATGCTGTTAGTTTTTTAATCATTTCCATTTGTACGAATAGTTGATTCATTCACACAAAACTCACGGTTAGTTTCCATCACAAATACACCACTTTTAAGACTATTAATACAGTGCTTCCATTTTCTTTACCAAAGTCACAGAATCACATCTGTTTTTCTTGCATTAGGAGACACACAGTACCCACAAACTGATTCGTCAGGAAACAGGACAATTGTTTCCCGACGCAGGTCTTCTTGTAGAGGCATGAGGATGAAAACATATGGGAGCCAGAGGAGAAAGACGGTAGTTGAAGACATCACATGTGGGTGCGGCCAACTAGTGGAAGTAGGTAAAATCGATAAGTTGAGCCACAAATTTACCAGTTGCAAAAGATGTAGAAAGATGCAGCAGTGGTCACTGGTGGACCACTATAAGGGAAGCCAGACGTAAGTAATAGAGTTGTAAAAGTTAAGTCGCTTCCATGAAGCACATCCAACTACAAGTGTTTTATAGAAATGATACAAACAAACAAAAGCTTTTAGAACTACCCCTTGCAAAAACAAGATGCAAATTTAAATTATAGTACACACACTGAAATTAATTGCTTACAAATAGAGTAGTAAATGGTCGGATGAAAGAGAAGGTATGTAGCAAAGGTACAGGAAACATTAAACATATTAATATCAACTATTTAAAGAAAGCACGCCTATGTAAACTAAAATATGTAATTAGTATATTCAGTCAACTGTACCTTCACGCAGGCCTGACACCACAATGGCACTCAAAGTTTTCATATCCATCCAAGTGTCATTATCCTCCCTCTGGAACTGAAGGCGGTAACTTATAATAATAATGTTATTAGATCCATCATCTTTTTCACGTGTCCAAGCTGAGAAACTCACTAAAACTGAAGTCTGGTTTACGACGGTCACTGACGGCGGAGTTCGCAGACGAGGTAAATCCCAAGGTCTTTTACCTATTATATATTGAAAATCAGTTTTAGCCACCAAGACACAACACTTCATAATATAGGCAGACATTAACAACAATGACAAAATATTACCACACTTAAGGCTAGACTTGAACACGTACACAGCCACAAATTTATGACGAAGAATCATGTGAGAGGAAAGTCATTAATATATTTTACAATAAGAAAATTAATGTAAATCCTGAGATGTTTATACAGAATTCCCATTAACTCTATTAACTGTGATACACACAGAATAGATGCGAGTCACAAATTTACCGTAATTTTCAAATTAAATATTCGTATATTTCATCTTTCGCACATCCGACCCTGCAGCGCTGTGGCCCTTGTGGGTTTAGCGCTTAGTTTAGATATTAAAAATAGAATTAATAATTAAACTAAATAGTGACTAAAAACATACCACTACAAAGATTGTCATTTTTGCAACTCCTTTTGCATGTTCCGCTTACTGGGTCACAGTCGTTGTCTGAGCAGTAGTGACAAGGTTGGGAACAGTCAGCACCATACCATCCTTTACCACACCCTGTTAGATTACACCCGAACCATAAATGTCAAAACAAGGAAATACATTAGCAACACTACGATAACAAAACACATCAAGGTAAATATATTGAACAATAGCCTTAAGATAAACTAGATTACAAAGAGAGAAAGTATTATTATAGTATTTTAGAGAAAGTATAAAAAAACAAGTATTTCAAACAACAGACAATAAGACAATATATGAGGAATTTAACATCACACAAAAATTGGAATTAAACAGTTAATTCCAAAACTGAGAAGGAAAAGACAAATAAATAATTCAACAGTAATTAATAACACGACTCGTGAATATAAACAAAACTTTGAACCAATAGATTAAATTCAAATTCAAATTCAAATTCAAAGTTTATTCTCTATAAGGATTACAATGCTGAGTTTACAGAAATTGGGTTATTGTTTGGTTTACATGTAGTAAAATTGTGATTACAGAGTGTACCACTAGAACGCTTAGCATGGCTAGGCATTTCGGGCATACTTAGTTTTATTCTTAATTGTAAAATATTACAAATTATGAGGTAAGTTGGTATTATGGCTAAGTGACTAAATACTAGTTTGTGAGTTTAGCAATGTGAATGCTTTTGTTTTGGCACAGGACATAGTTTCAGTATTGGAGTATCACAGGATTCATTATTTTAAGACTGAGATTAATATTTCTGTTTATGGTCAAATGAGTGAGTGAGTGTAAGTGTGAACCACCAGGTGGTATTCGTTGTAGTTAGTTGACAGGGTGTATCAGGGAGATAAGATGTTTTCTAATGGTAGTTTTGAAGGTGATGAATGTGTCTGCAGTTCTAGAGTTCTCAGGTAGGGTATTTTCCCGATTTTAGGGCCTTTGACATACATTGAATTTTTGTAAAGGTTTAGTCGGACACGGGGAATGTCGTAGAGATGTTTGTGTCTGGTGTTATGCCTGTGGGTTCTGTCACAACTATCAAGAAAGTGTTTTAGGTCAAGGTTGATATTGGAGTTTAAGGTCCCGTAGATGTAGATTGCACAGTAGTAAGTGTGGATTGTACTGAACTGGGAGCAAGTTTAGATCTATGAAGAGTGGGGGGGGGGGGGTGTTGCCAGGGATGGGATTTAGTGATTATTCTTACTGCAGCTTTTTGTTGGGTTATTATTGGCTTTAGGTGTGTTGCTGCAGTTGATCCCCAAACACAAATAGCATAGGTGAGGTAGGGATAAATAAGTGATTTGGTATAGTGTGAGAGGGCATTTTGCGGCACGTAGTATCGTATCTTGGAGAGGATCCCAACCGTTTTGGATACTTTTTTGGCTATATGCTGGATATGGTGCTGAAATTCAGGTTGTTGTCAAGGTATAAGCCTAGGAATTTTCCCCCATTATTTCTGGTTAATTAGAGTGTTGTCAATCTTAATGTTAATTCGTGCATCTCCTGCTCTGCTACCAAACATAATATAGTAGGTTTTGTCAGTGTTAAACGTAAGTTTATTGGCTGTCATCCAAGTCGATATTTTAATCAGCTCCTCATTCACAATGGTGTTGAGGGTGGCAAGAATTAGGGTGAGAGATGACATAAGTCGTGTCATCAGCAAAGAGAATGGGGTTTCAGGTGTTGGGATACGTTTGGAAGGTCATTGATTATATGAGGAGAGCAGGGGACCAAGGACACTTCCCTGCGGAACTCCAGTATCAAGTGGCCGTGTTGGGTGATGCTGTGTCTTTAATGGTGACGTACTGATACCTATTAGTAATGTAAGATTTGAAAATAAGCAAGCGCATGGCCTCTTATTACCGTATTGATCAAGTTTGTGGAGTAGGATGTCGTGGTTCTACTGTGTCAAAAGCTTTTCTTAGGTCAATAAAATTCCTAGTGGATTTCCTTATTTTCCAATGCTGTGTAAAGCAGATCTAGCATTTTTATGATTGCATCATTAGTGCTTTTATTTTTCCTGAATCCAAACTGGCAGGGGTTGAGTATGTTTTGAGCCGTTATAAATGAATACAGTCTCCTGTGCACGAGTTTCTCAAAGATTTTGGATAGCAATGGTAAAGTTAGATATTGGCCTATAGTTTGTTTAAGTCTGTAGGGTCACCACCTTTATGTATTGGTGTAACCCTTGCCATCTTGAGTAGTTTCGGGAAGGTGCTAGTCTCTATTGACTTGTTAAAAAGTAATGAAATAGCATAAGAACATAAGAAGAACATAAGAACGAAGGAACACTGCAGAAGGCCTACTGGCCCATGCGAGGCAGGTCCAAAAGTCTCCTACCGGCTTAAGCCAATGCACCCAACCTAGTCAGGTCAGGTACATTGACTTAAGGGAGGAACCCCGGAAACCCGACCTGGTAGCACAAGCTATCAGGTCTAACTCACACCCACCCACATCTACTCATGTATTTATCCAACCTATTTTTAAAGCTACACAACGGTTCTGGCCTCTAAAACGGTATTGGGAGTTTGTTCCACTCATCCACAACTCTATTACCAAACCAGTACTTTCCTATTCCCTCCTGAATCTGAATTTTTTCCAACTTAAAACCATTGCTGCGAGTCCTGTCTAGGCTAGATATTTTTCAGCACCTATTTACATCCCCTTTATTTATTCCGGGCTTCCATTTATACACCTCAATCATATCCCCCCTAATTCTACGTCTTTCTAGAGAGTGCAGTTTAGGGCCCTTAGTCTATCCTCATAGGGAAGGTTTCTGATACATGGATCATCTTTGGTCATCCTCCTTTGTACATTTTCCAGAGAATTTATATCCATTCTGTAATACGGTGACCAAAAACTGTGCAGATAATCTAAATGAGGCCTAACCAAGGATGTATAGAGTTGAAGAACAAAACCCGAGGACTCCTATTATTTATGCTTTTGATATGAAGCCAAGGATTCTTTTTAGCTTTATTGCGAACAACTTATGCACTGTTGTCTTGGTTTCAGATTACTGCTAACCAGAACTCCTAAATCTTTTTCGCAATCCGTTTAAAATTAAGATCTACATTATTTAGTTTATATGTGGCATGGTTATTGTCCTGTCCAACATTTTAGAACTTTGCATTTGTCTATATTAAACTGCATCTGCCACTTCTCCGACCCCCTGCATTAGTCTATTCAAATCTTCCTGGAGTGCTCGAATGTCCTCGTCAGAATGAATTCGACGGCCTATTTTGGTGTCATCGGCAAACTTGCCGATGTCGCTCTTTATGCCCTCATCTATGTCGTTTATGTAGATTGTGAACAGCAGGGGGCCCAACACTGCCCCTGTGGAACACCGCTCGTGACGCTTCCCCACTCTGATTTTTCCCCATTTATGCAAACTCTCTGCTGCCTATTTGTCAACCATGCCTCTATCCAGGAAAAAATTTCTCCTCCTATTCCATGTGCTTTAATTTTCCTCAATAGTCTCTGATGTGGGACCCTGTCAAAAGCCTTACTGAAGTCCATATACACAATATCATATTCATTACCATGATCTACCTCCTCAAATACCTTAGTGAAAAAAGTTAATAAATTCGTAAGGCAGGAACGCCCCTTGTAAAACCATGCTGAGATTCGTTGATTAATTTATGCTTTTCAAGGTGGCTACGAACTGCCTCGGCAATTATTGATTCCATAAATTTTCCACTATGGAGGTTAGGCTTATTGGTCTATAGTTCGAAGCTAAGGACCTGTCACCTGTTTTGAAAATAGGTATCACATTTGCCCATTTTCCACTTATCTGGCACCATGCCAGTTTGTAGTGATATGTTGAAAAGATTAGCCAAAGGTGTGCTAAGCTCCTCTTTACATTCCTTTAGAACCCTTGCATACAGTTCATCAGGGCCTGGGGATTTGTTAGGTTTTAATTTATCTATTTGCCTAAGGACCATGTCACTTGTGACCCTAATAGTGCACAGTTTATTATCGTCCTGTTCTACATAATTTATCATTACTGGAATATCGCTGGTATCCTCCTGTGTAAAAACTGAGAGGAAGTATGTGTTAAAAATTCTACACATGGGCCGCTCGCTTGTACAGTAATGGTGGGACATGAGACAGATTCCCCGAGTTATTTTTAAGTGACTTTATGATCTCAATGACTTCCGTGGGCTCAGTTGGTGCAAGATAGAAGTAATTAGGGAAATTTCCATCTAGGTAGTCCCCGGCATGGGCATTGGTATGTGGGATTTTACTGGCGAGATTAGATCCTATGTTTGAGAAGAAGTCGTTTATCTTGTTAGCTGTGTCAGTGGGATGTAGTGGTGTTTCATTAGGTTTAGTTAGGACAATATTCTTGGTTTTTCTCAGTTTGTGGGTCCCTAGAATCTGAGAGAGTGTTTTCCAGGTCTTTTTTATATCTCCTCTAGTGTCTGTGAATCTACTGGAGTAGTATAGTTGTTTGGCTTTTTTTATCACTTTGGTGAGAGCTGATGAATAGTGTTTAAGAGTATCTTTGTGTATTAAGCCCTGTCTATATTGCTTTTCATATTGGTGTTTCTTGTCAATGGATTTCAGAATGGTGCTGGTTAGCCATGGGCAACCAAGCCGTTTGTTTGTGATCTGTTTTGTTTTTATAGGACAATGTTTGTTGTATAGTCTAAGTAATTGTTAAGAAAAATGTCTGTCCAGTCATCAATAACCATTGGCCTTGGAGAATTCTGTAGGCCAATCAACAGTCTCTAGGTCAGCTGTGAACTTCCTTACTGAGGCCTCGTCATGGAGTCTAAATGAGACTTTGTTGTATTCAAGTGGTGGTTTACTAATGTTTGTCAGGAGGAAGGTAGGGTAGTGGTCTGTAGTGCTATCTGTGATTATCCCTGATTTAAGGGGGGCTAGTATATTGGTCCATATGTGGTCTATTATGGTTGCACTTGTCTCAGTGAGCCTGGTTGGTTTAGTTATTGTTGGTATGAGAAGTGTGTTGTTCATATTGTTGATGAAATCAGTTACAGGCTGATCATCTAGTAAGCCAAGGTTGATGTTGAAGTCTCCAGCTAAGAGAGGTGGTGCTTATTCATTTGTCTGGTTGTTATTTAGTGACTTTAATTTCTCACTGAAATTTGGGATGTTTGTGTGAGGTATCCGGTAAATGGCACCGATTGTTATAGGCGTCTTAAGGTTTTTACAGTAAAATTAGCAAAAAATGTATTCCCATATTCATCACTAAAGCAAGTGGTGCTAAGACAAGATAATTGGTTAGAGTAATAGATTGCAATACCACCCCCAACTTGGTTTGTTCTGCAGTTGTGAATTGCTGTGTATCCTGGTAGAGGGTAGATATCTATTGTGTCCTGCTTAAGCCAGGTCTCAGTAAGAATAATGCAGGAGAAGGGTGTCTTTAGTGATTCAAGGAGTGCTAGGAGGTCATCTAGTGTTTGCTTAAGGACTGATGTTGTAGTTAAGTACTGATAGACTTTTAGCATTGTTTAGGATAGTGGTGGCTTGTGATGCTGTGTAATAAAGGCAGTTACTTTCCAATAGGTTTTGATTGGGTGTCAGATTATGGAGGTTTAGATCAGGGTCAACGTGATCAATCATCTTCTAGGTTTAAATTATGGTTATTTATATCCTGAGTTGTGTGTTGAGTTCTAGTACTGATATCTGTAGTGGTAGGAAGTTTGGACAAGTATATAGCTAGAGTATTTTGGTCATGTAGGGTATATTCACTACTACACATAATGAAGTTGATGTTGTCTATGTGTTGTGCTGGAATGAACTAAAGTACAACTAGGTATAAACTAGTAATATAAAAATACAAATTAAAATAGAACAAGACTCTCACTTGTAATTGCACTAAGGTCTAATAATGACTTTTGTGGAGTCTATGTTTTGAGCTAGAGTGAGCTAAAGTACAATAGGTTTAATCTAATAATATAAAAGTACAAATTAAAAATAGCACTAGTCTCTCACTAGTAATTGCAATATGGTCTAATATAGTGAATTTGGTATTGACTATGTCTTGAGGTAGAATGAGCTATGGTACAACTGAATTTAATCTAATAATATAAAAATACAAATTAAAAATAGCACCAGTCTCTCACTAGTAATTGCACTATGGTCTAATATAGTGAATTTGGTATTGACTATGTATTGAGCTAGAAAGAGCTATAGTACAACTAGGTTTAGTCTAATAATATAAAAATACAAATTACAAATAGCACCAGTCTCTCACTAGTAATTGCACTATGGTCTAGTATAGTGAATTTGGTATTGACTATGTATTGAGCTAGAATGAGCTAGAGTAAAACTGTGATTAATCTAATAATATAATAAAGGAACAAGACTCTCAATTGTAATTGCACTAAGGTCTTATATAAGTTGTTTACAAGAATTAGAGTATAATTAGATTTAAATTGATAGGATAAAATACACAAATTAAGGTAGCAAAATAATAATAAAAAAATGATAAAAATAAAAATGGCAATGACTTGGTTATAGTATGCTAGTAAGATGGTAGACAGGATGATATAAAAGTTGTAGTTGAAAATACTAGGTTAAAAAAGTATGGAATAAAAATGATCAATAAAAGAAGTTCACAATAAGTTTGATCAATATAGTTTAAAGTAAAATTGGGCAATAATAGGGATTTAGAATAAAATTGGGCAATTGAGTATTTTTTAAAGTGAGGTAGAATTATTGAAGACAAGTTATGGTTAGTTTATAAAAAAATAAGATGGAACAGTGATGTGGTAAGTTGTAAAAAAGGAGATAGATTCTGTAGATATTAAATACAATTAAGACTATGAGGTAGAATGGTCGTTGAATACAACAATGACAATTAAAAGTAGTTGGAGTATTAGAATTTTAGGGGGGCACAAATTTATGACAATATAACACTAACGGTGGACTATGGGTATTATCTGCACTTTACTCTGATTCTGTTAGTCCTGCCTCACTTAGGAATGTTTTAAGGTCATGTTCTGTGGAGATGAAGTATCTCTTCCCAGTGGGCTGTTTCCTAACTGCTATTTTTCCATCCCTCACAAAGCACTGGTGGATTTTTTGGGCATAGCGCAATTTTCTTAGCCGATAAAGAAGGTTTTGTCTCGTTTTGGTAAGGCACTCATTGACGTAAACATCTTCAACCCAGGTATTAACTAGAGATTGAAGAGAGCCAGAAGATAACATGATATTCAAACAACCCACGAACAAAATTTAAATAAAGAGACAAGAAAAACAAATGCTTATAGAGAGGTAACAAATAAGAGTAATTTACAATCAAATTTCTTATTCAGCTTTGTAAATAGAAAACTAAATATGAAAACAAAATACGTACAAAGCATCATAGTCAGGGTTATCAGATTACAGGAAGAAATATGTGTGATACAAAATATGAAGTACCAGAGTATATTTACAATAGAAATAAGAAGATCTAACAAGGTAGACTTGAACCCTTAATAACCAATAGACATAGAGGCAACTGAAATGACAAAAAAAGAAATGTGACCAATACTGAATGATGACAAAAACAAAGCAGGTCTAGATAATATCAACTTGGGTATTGAAAATACTGGTTGTGCACAACAGCTAAGATGTCCATTCCGTTTTTTCATAAAGGAAACTGGTGGAAAAACAGAAAATGACTATTATTGTGCTTGTATGTATTTAACAAATAGGACTGGGAAGACCTTCAAATATAATAATAATAATAATAACAATAGTTGCAAAAAATCTTAGAAGGTAGTTTATAAATCACCTGGTAAGCAAAAATTTGTGAATTATCAAACAGTTCAGCTTCGGATCAGCAAAATTGCACGATGTATATCCACTCTATTAAGCTATTGCCATAGACACAAATTGTATTGATAAAAAAATGGATGAACAGATTGGAATTAAAAAGTAATGCTCTTGATAGTTCCCCATGAAGAAATATATTTTAAATTACAAATCAGGATAAATAATAGGCTAATTGTTGCAATAGCCTACTTTTTTTTTTTTGTAAGAAAGTTGCAAATAATGTAGAGAAAAATAAAATGTTCCATTGAAAAAACAGTAACATCATCGAAGGTCCTACAATTTTCAGTACATGTCATTTTGTTTACTTTATATACCGGCAGATGATTTGCATGAAGGAATGAATAACAATATGAACATGGTCATGTAATATGCAAACAATACTATGCAATATTAGAAATCAAAATGACTTGTAGATGCTTTGAAGAAGAATTAAATAAATTGAGTAGATTAAGTAATAAATAAAGGATGGAATTTAATTAATGTAGACAATTGTGACATGAAAATGGCAAAAAAGTATAAACAGGTCACATGAGTATCGACTCTGTACAATAAAAATATACTGAAAACACAGAAAAACACTTATGAGTAATTATAGACAAGAAACCAAAAGATCATATGATTTCAGTATATAAAAGTTCTGTGTTCAAGTAGCAAACTTCAGAATAACATTAAGATATGTGGATGGTGAGCTAGATCCTTTTTTAGGTTTTTTTTTCTGCAAAAGGGTCACCCGGAGCCCATCTAGAATGTGTTGTACCTTGTTCACATTAACACTCACCTCCCTGAGCCTCATTTTGCCTCGGTTCATACAGCAGTACTCACCTAATTGTGGTTGCAGGGGTCGATCAGTGACCACTTGTTCCTGCCAGCACCAATGGGACCCACGGTGTGCTCCAGTTGGCAACACACCCCAAATCTATATTCTAGTTTCACTTGCATCTTGCTATTCTCACTTCTATCCCAAACTGCACCAAATAATAGAAATATATAACCATGTAGTGACTACTGGTTCCGTATAGTAAATTTTGTCTATTTCACCTAGAGAGAAATAGTCTTAACTGACCTCAACTCAGATCCATGCGGCACCTTGACCCGTTGACTCATGAAGTTTCCCATTACTGCATTTATCACAGTTTCTTTGCATATTTCTGATCCTCTCTGTGATTCCCAGTACTCATAGACTCTTCATAAGTAAAAACTACCACGATCAGTAGTTTTTTTTTCAGTGCGATAGTTGCTACACGATTTGTATCACTACCCATTAATTTTCCTCATATCCCTATCTCGGCCATCTTGTGTTCATTGGAGTATTTTAAACTGATGTTATCTTCGATCCTTCTGTCTCCACTGTCTTTGTCACAAAGTCTTAAAAGTCTCCACACTTATTATATTCTTGTAGTAGTGTTCCCCACCCTCCCGCCTCTCTCTTCTTACTATGTGATATTTCTCTAGAAATATTGTATATGTTAACACTTGTGAATTTCTTCAGTATTTCTGTCATATCTGTGTTTGCTTCTCATAATTTCCCTTTTATCTCGCAGCATATTTGCAATGTCATCTGCATTGTGTACCATACATTTAATTTTTGTATATATAATTTTTGGAGATGCCGGAAGCAAGGGGTTAGTAACCCCTTCTCCTGTATACATTTCTGAATTTAAAGAAAGGAACTTTCATAATTCTTTTTAGGTCACCCTGCCCTGGAGGGCAGGATTTTCATTCATGAATGGCATTAAGAGCAAAGTATAGGGCAAGAAGCATTGTTGGTCCATGGTCCAAATAGTTGTGGAGAGTATCTAGGCTGCTGTGGGATGTAATTGATGTAGACTGGTGGGGAAGAAGCGGAGATGGCATGAGTGTGGCTGAGATATAGGTGTGGATTGAGGCAAGATATAGTGGCAACTGATGGATGGATGGATGGAGAGGAGTAATAAGGGTAAGGATTGTTAGTAGGGAAATCAAGGGTTATTCATTTGTGTCCTGTCTTCTACCAGTTCTTTTCCACCCTGGATGGTAAAATCTGCGTACATTAAAATATGGTTATAAGTTCGCATTATCTAAAAAACAAATTCAGCTTAATCTGAAAAAATAAGTGATTTACTTATCCTGCAGAAGGGTCCCATATATCCAGGGGCACAAGAACAGCCATAGGGTTCAGGAAGACACATCGTCAAACCCAAACATTCACCATCTGTCATAGTGTTGAAGCCAAGAGTGCTCTTCTGACAACTAAGCTGACACTGACTCCCAAACGTGCCAGGGTCACAAGCTATAAAAATAAATAAATGCTAGAATAATATGCATTTTGATACAAACTTGTTATTTTTCAAATGCAATATATATATATTATATAATATATATATATATATATATATATATATATATATATATTATAATATATATATTATAAAATATATTTCAACAAGTCGGCCGTCTCCCACCGAGGCAGGGTGACCCAAAAAAGAAAGAAAATCCCCAAAAAGAAAACACTCTCATCATCATTCAACACTTTCACCACACTCGCACACCATCACTGCTTTTGCAGAGGTGCTCAGAATACAACAGTCTAGAAGCATACACATATAAAGATACACACATATCCCTCCAAACTGCCAATATCCCAAACCCCTCCTTTAAAGTGCAGGCATTGTACTTCCCATTTCCAGGACTCAAGTCCGACTATATGAAAATAACCGGTTTCCCTGAATCCCTTCACTAAATATTACCCTGCTCACACTCCAACAGATCGTCAGGTCCCAAGTACCATTCGTCTCCATTCACTCCTATCTAACACGCTCACGCACGCTTGCTGGAAGTCCAAGCCCCTTACCCACAAAACCTCCTTTACCCCCTCTCTCCAACCCTTTCGAGGACGACCCCTACCCCGCCTTCCTTCCCCTATAGATTTATATGCTTTCCATGTCATTCTACTTTGATCCATTCTCTCTAAATGACCAAACCACCTCAACAACCCCTCCTCTGCCCTCTGACTAATACTTTTATTAACTCCACACCTTCTCCTAATTTCCACACTCCGAATTTTCTGCATAATATTTACACCACACATTGCCCTTAAACAGGACATCTCCACTGCCTCCAACCGTCACCTCGCTGCTGCATTTACCACCCAAGCTTCACACCCATATAAGAGTGTTGGTACTACTATACTTTCCATACATACCCTTCTTTGCCTCCATAGATAACGTTTTTTGACTCCACATATACCTCAACGCACCACTCACCTTTTTTCCCTCATCAATTCTATGATTAACCTCATCCTTCATAAATCCATCCGCCGACACGTCAACTCCAAGTATCTGAAAACATTCACTTCTTCCATACTCCTCCTCCCCAATTTGATATCCAATTTTTCTTTATCCAAATCATTTTGACACCCTCATCACCTTACTCTTTTCTATGTTCACTTTCAACTTTCTACCTTTACACACATTCCCAAACTCATCCACTAACCTTTGCAATTTTTCTTTAGAATTCCCATAAGCACAGTATCATCAGCAAAAAGTAACTGTGTCAATTCCCATTTTGAATTTGATTCCCCATAATTTAATCCCACCCCTCTCCCGAGCACCCTAGCATTTACTTCTTTTACAACCCCATCTATAAATATATTAAGCACCCATGGTGACATTACACATCCCTGTCTAAGACCTACTTTTACTGGGAAGTTGTCTCCCTCTCTTCTACACACCCTAACCTGAGCCTCACTATCCTCATAAAAACTCTTTACAGCATTTAGTAACTTACCATTTATTCCATATATTTGCAACATCTGCCACATTGCTCCCCTATCCACTCTATCATATGCCTCTTCTAAATCCATAAAAGCAATAAAAACTTCCCTACCTTATTCTAAATACTGCACTAGCCAAGGACTCGAACCCATGCTGCCTTGGCCTGCCTCATGGTGGGCGAAAACTCATGACGCCCTAATCCACTGGACCATACAATCCTTAAGAGTAGCGCACCCAGCGGAACTGAGTGTTGTACTCGCTACCCAAGGACATACGATGGTGTGGATGACTCTAGGCTAATTTCATTCTAGTATTTTATATTATTGTACCCACGAACAAGTGGTATGATCAATAATATATATATATATTATATATATATATATATATATATATATATATATATATATATATATGTTATATATATATATATATATTATAATATTATATATATATATATATATATATATTATATATATATATATATATATATATATATATATTTTTTTTTTTTTTTTTTCAACAAGTCGGCCGTCTCCCACCGAGGCAGGGTGACCCAAAAAAGAAAGAAAATCCCCAAAAAGAAAATACTTTCATCATCATTCAACACTTTCACCACACTCGCACATTATCACTGTTTTTGCAGAGGTGCTCAGAATACAACAGTCTAGAAGCATAAACATATAAAGATACACAACATATCCCTCCAAACTGCCAATATCCCAAACCCCTCCTTTAAAGTGCAGGCATTGTACTTCCCATTTCCAGGACTCAAGTCCGACTATATGAAAATAACCGGTTTCCCTGAATCCCTTCACTAAATATTACCCTGCTCACACTCCAACAGATCGTCAGGTCCCAAGTACCATTCGTCTCCATTCACTCCTATCTAACACGCTCACGCACGCTTGCTGGAAGTCCAAGCCCCTTACCACAAAACCTCCTTTACCCCCTCTCTCCAACCCTTTCGAGGACGACCCCTACCCCGCCTTCCTTCCCCTATAGATTTATATGCTTTCCATGTCATTCTACTGTGATCCATTCTCTCTAAATGACCAAACCACCTCAAACAACCCCTCTTCTGCCCTCTGACTAATACTTTTATTAACTCCACACCTTCTCCTAATTTCCACACTCCGAATTTTCTGCATAATATTTACACCACACATTGCCCTTAAACAGGACATCTCCGCTGCCTCCAACCGTCTCCTCGCTGCTGCATTTACCACCCAAGCTTCACACCCATATAAGAGTGTTGGTACTACTATACTTTCATACATTCCCTTCTTTGCCTCCATAGATAACGTTTTTTGACTCCACATATACCTCAACGCACCACTCACCTTTTTTCCCTCATCAATTCTATGATTAACCTCATCCTTCATAAATCCATCCGCCGACACGTCAACTCCCAAGTATCTGAAAACATTCACTTCTTCCATACTCCTCCTCCCCAATTTGATATCCAATTTTTCTTTATCTAAATCATTTGACACCCTCATCACCTTACTCTTTTCTATGTTCACTTTCAACTTTCTACCTTTACACACATTCCCAAACTCATCCACTAACCTTTGCAATTTTTCTTTAGAATCTCCCATAAGCACAGTATCATCAGCAAAAAGTAACTGTGTCAATTCCCATTTTGAATTTGATTCCCCATAATTTAATCCACCCCTCTCCCAAACACCCTAGCATTTACTTCCTTTACAACCCCATCTATAAATATATTAAACAACCATGGTGACATTACACATCCCTGTTCTAAGACCTACTTTTACCGGGAAGTAGTCTCCCTCTTTCTACACACCCTAACCTGAGCCTCACTATCCTCATAAAAACTCTTTACAGCATTTAATAACTTACCACCTATTCCATATACTTGCAACATCTGCCACATTGCTCCTCTATCCACTCTATCATATGCCTTTTCTAAATCCATAAATGCAATAAAAACTTCCCTATCTTTATCTAAATACTGTTCACATATATGCTTCAATGTAAACACCTGATCTACACATCCCCTACCCACTCTAAAACCTCCTTGCTCATCCGCAATCCTACATTCTGTCTTACCTCTAATTCTTTCAATTATAACCCTACCGTACACTTTTCCTGGTATACTCAGTAAGCTTATTCCTCTATTAATTTTTACAGTCTCTTTTGTCCCCTTTCCCTTTATATAAAGGGACTATACATGCTCTCTGCCAATCCCTAGGTACCTTCCCCTCTTTCATACATTTATTAAACAAAAGTACCAACCACTCCAACACTATATCCCCCCTGCTTTTAACATTTCTGTCATGATCCCATCAGTTCCAGCTGCTTTACCCCCTTTCATTTTACGTAATGCCTCACGTACCTCCCCACACTTACATTCTGCTCTTCTTCACTCCTAAAAGATGGTATACCTCCCTGACCAGTGCATGAAATTACTGCCTCTGTTTCTTCCTTAACATTTAAAAGTTCCTCAAAATATTCTCGCCATCTACCCAATACCTCCATCTCCCCATCTTACTAACTCCCCTACTCTGTTTTTAACTGACAAATCCATATTTTCCCTAGGCTTTCTTAACTTGTTTAACTCACTCCAAAATTTTTTCTTATTTTCATTAAATTTCTTGACAGTGCCTCTCCACTCTATCATCTGCTCTCCTTTTGCACTCTCTCACCACTCTCTTTACCTTTCTTTTACTCTCCATATACTCTGCTCTTCTTATAACACTTCTGCTTTGTAAAAACCTCTCATAAGCTACCTTTTTCTCTTTTATCACACCCTTTACTTCATCATTCCACCAATCACTCCTCTTTCCTCCTGCCCCCACCCTCCTATAACCAAAACTTCTGCCCCACATTCTAATACTGCATTTTTAAAAACTATTCCAACCCTCTACAACCCCCCCACTACTCATCTTTGCACTAGCCCACCTTTCTGCCAATAGTCGCTTATATCTCACCCGAACTTCCTCCTCCCTTAGTTTATACACTTTCACCTCCCTCTTACTTGTTGTTGCCACCTTCCTCTTTTCCCATCTACCTCTTACTCTAACTGTAGCTACAACTAAATAATGATCCGATATATCAGTTGCCCCTCTATAAACATGTACATCCTGGAGCCTACCCATCAACCTTTTATCCACCAATACATAATCTAATAAACTACTTTCATTACGTGCTACATCATACCTTGTATATTTATTTATCCTCTTTTTCATAAAATATGTATTACTTATTACCAAATTTCTTTCTACACATAGCTCAATTAAGGCTCCCCATTTACATTTACCCCTGGCACCCCAAATTTACCTACTACTCCCTCCATAACATTTTTACCCACTTTAGCATTAAAATCCCCAACCACCATTACTCTCACACTTGATTCAAAACTCCCCACGCATTCACTCAACATTTCCCAAAATCTCTCTCTCTCCTCTACACTTCTCTCTTCTCCAGGTGCATACACGCTTATTATAACCCACTTTTCACATCCAATCTTTATTTTACTCCACATAATCCTTGAATTAATACATTTATAGTCCCTCTTTTCCTGCCATAGCTTATCCTTCAACATTATTGCTACTCCTTCTTTAGCTCTAACTCTATTTGAAACCCCTGACCTAATCCCATTTATTCCTCTCCACTGAAACTCTCCCACCCCCTTCAGCTTTGTTTCACTTAAAGCCAGGACATCCAGCTTCTTCTCATTCATAACATCCACAATCATCTCTTTCTTATCATCTGCACAACATCCACGCACATTCAGACTTCCCACTTTGACAATTTTCTTCTTCTTATTCTTTTTAGTAATCTTTACAGGAAAAGGGGTTACTAGCCCATTGTTCCCGCATTTTAGTTGACTTTTACAACACGCATGGCTTACGGAGGAAAGATTCTTATTCCACTTCCCCATGGATATAAAAGGAAAATTAATAAGACCAAGAACTATTAAGATAAAATCAAAGAAAACTCAGATGAGTGTGTATAAATAAATGTGTACATGTATGTGTAGTGTGACCTAAGTGTAAGTAGAAGTAGCAAGACATGCCTGTAATCTTGCATATTTATGAGACAGACAAAAGACATCAGCAATCCTACCCATCATGTAAAACAATCACAGGCTTCGTTTTACACTCACTTGGCAGGACGGTAGTACCTCCCTGGGTGGTTGCTGTCTACCAACCTACTTACTACTACTACTACTATATATATATATTTATGTTATATATATATATATATATATATATATATATATATATATATATAATATATTATATATATATATATATTATATATATATGTCGTGCGCGAAATAGGCAAGAACTTGCGATCTTGGCTTAAATAACAACGCTCATCTTGCATATAGGACAAGTGAAAATTTGTGTATGCAATAATTTCGCCAAAATCATTCTGAATCTAACGAAAATAAATATATTTCACTGTGTTTGTTTAGTATTAAATTATTGTAAACAAATCTAAAATATATTTAGTGGGTTAGGCTAAAATAAATTGTTCTTGTTATAATAAGGTTAGGTAAGTTTTCTAAGATTCTTTTGGTGCAAAATTATATTTTTTTACATCAACATTAATGAAAAAAAATATATCTTTAAAACGTATAAGAGAAAATTTCAGAAAGGACTTAATTTTAAATGAGCTCTTGCTAATTGACCAGTTTTACATATTCGGCACGACATATATATATATATATATATATATATATATATATATATATATAATATATATATATATATATATATATATATATATATTATATATATATATATAGTCGGACTTGAGTCTGGAAATGGGAAGTACAATGCCTGCACTTTAAAGGAGGGGTTTGGGATATTGGCAGTTTGGAGGGATATGTTGTGTATCTTTATACGTATATGCTTCTAAACTGTTGTATTCTGAGCACCTCTGCAAAAGCAGTGATAATGTGTGAGTGTGGTGAAAGTGTTGAATGATGATGAAAGTATTTTCTTTTTGGGGATTTTCTTTCTTTTTTGGGTCACCCTGCCTCACTTATACATAATCACTGTCTTTGCATAGGCGCTCAGATACGACAGTTTAGATGTCCCTCCAGATTGCCAGTATCCGAAACCCCTCATTTAAAGTGCAAGCATTGTACTTCCCGTTTCCAGGGATCAAGTCCGGCTAACCGGTTTCCCTGAATCCCTTCACAAAATATACCTTGCTCACACTCCAACAGCTCGTCAGGCCCCAAAAACAATTCGTCTCCATTCACTCCTATCTAACACGCTCACGCACGCTTGTTCGAAATCCAAGCCCCTCGCCCACAAAACGTCATTTACCTACTCCCTCCATCCTTTTCGAGGACGACCCCTACCCCGCCTTCCTTCCCCTACACATTTATACGCTCTCCAAGTCATTCTTTGTTCCACTCTCTCTAAATGACCAAACCACCTCAACAACCTCTCTTCAGCCCTCTTACTAATACTTTTAGTAACTCCACACATCCTCCTACATTCCATTCTTTGTTTTAATATAAACACTTGATCTACACATCCCCTACCCATTTTAAGGCCTCCTTGTTCATCTGCAGTCCTGCACTCCGTATTACCTCTAATTCTTTTAATAAATCCTACCAAACACTACCTGGTATACTCAGTAAACTTACTCCCCATAATTTTTGCAATCTCTTTTGTCCTCCTTTCCTTTATAAAAAGGAACTATACACTCTGCCAATCCCTAGGTACCCTCCCCTCCTTCGTACATTTATTGAACAAAAGTACCAACCACTCCAACACTATATCCCCCCTATTTTTAATATTTCTGTCATGATCCCGTCAGTTCCAGATGCTTCACCCCCTTTCATTCTACCTAATGCCTCACGTACCTCCCCTACACTCACATCCAGCTTGTCTTCACTCCTAAAAGATGTTATACCTCCCTGACCAATGCATGTTACACCTGACAATGTGTTAAGAAAGGAAGGTATCTACAGAAACAAAGCCAGGACAGAGTCATGTTAGGAAAGTATTACAAGTAAAGGCCCAGAAGGGAAGATAGATTTTTCAGAAGACCAGTTAACAGGATGGCTGTGATCTATAAAATGTTTAAAAAAACATTATTGATAGTGTCAAGGTGACACTGAAAATGACACATTGGAACTGGAAGATAGTTCCCATGATGGGTAAAAATGTATGCTACTACCTTGTTGGCAGGTGGGACCATGGAAACCTGGAGCACAAAGACACGAGCCCGTCACTGCATGACAGACGCCACCATTTTCACAGTCTGGACACCAAAACTGGCAATCCCGGCCATAACGCCCAGCCTCGCACTCTGTTAGATAATACTACATAAGTAAAGAAATACCTGCGATTCTACATCAAGCATATTTTGATTATCTTACCATTGTACTAAATTCTGAGAGCGCTAACAAACTCTGTTTTTCCAACAGGTCAAGCTGGGAAAGACTTTGTATTATATACCCGGGAGGGTATAAGTAATCCCGGAGGATATAACACTGGAGGATGTAAATAACCCCAGAGGATGTAAATAACCCCAGAGGAAGTAAATAACACCGGAGGATGTAAATAACCCCAGAGGAAGTAAATAACACCGGAGGATGTAAATAACCCCAGAAGATGTAAATAACACCAGACAATGTAAATAACCCTGGAGGATGTAAATAACCCGATAATGTAAACAACCCCGGAGGATGTAAATAACCCCAGAAGATGTAAATAACACCGGAGGATGTAAATAACCCAGAGAACGTAAACAGCATGGTAAATTACATCCTCCGGTGTTACTTATACCCTTCAGGGTTAATAATACAAAGACAGTCTTTCCCAGCTTGACCTGCTGGAAAAACAGTAATCTGTGAATCTCAATATGTCATTTATAAAACTTAAGCATATTCTCCCCTCAGAGGAGGTTCCTTGATGCTGGTGAGAGGCTCTTGATCTAAGGAACTGGACCTGTGCTCCAATTCCTTAAATCGAGTCTTGATGCCTTCCATTCCCCCCCAGGCGTTGTGTGACCCCGACGAGTTTAGCACTCTCCCATGAATGTAATAATAATAATAAAGCATTTTCAATAACATTTTACATCAGCTTGTAGTTTGCTATATTTACTCATAAAATAATAAAACATTTGTTTGCTAATGAATAAAACACAACCG